TACGAGAAATGTTACTCTGTACGATGCACACGTGAAAATTGGGTCATGTTTCATCAAATTTATATATTCCGTATAAGTTTGAAAACATTGAGAAGAATAATCTCACATTTCACCGATGTTCTCATGATAATCTCACTTTTAAGTAATTCTAGAATAATCCCAATTTTACACCACATCTTCTTTCGTTGGACCCTAACCTGTTGATGACCTACTATAACAGATTTTTTACCATTTCTTTGGAAACCTTATATAAATAATCTCACCTTTCACAAATCTACTCAAAACGGGCTCATGTTTCATTTTCTCTTTTCTCCCTAATATTTTTCTTTGTTTATTTTCATCCCTAGACATTTTTAATACTTTTTCTATCATTTTTTTTATTTCTTTTCCATCTATATTATTCTATTTCTTACTCTATTAGGAGAGATTTTTTTGTTAAATTTCTCTTCAAAATACCTATTTTTTGTCATTTTCTTTTTCTTTCTGTATTTTTATTTCATTTCCCTTTTATGTTTTTCTTTATAATGATTCTTTTCTTATTAAAGATTTTTTTCGCGCTCTAATTATAATTTTTTTCACTTTCCCCGTTTTTTCTTCTTGTTATTTATTTTTTATGTTTTTTCTCCTTGATATACTCCAAGCATGTATTTATTACCAAAAATTTTAGCGAGCATGTTACATGCTCCATAGGGAGCACGTACTCCATGTTGGACACGGAACTTTTAATTAGATTTTATAATTACATTAAAATAGAATTTGAATGTCGCACGCTATTTCTCAAAAGGAGGGACTCCCATTCTTCTACACCTATACCGCTACTGTGAATCTACACGCTACACGTTACCCCAAGAGAAAATCTTCCATCTTCTGCATCCTAAACCATTAAAAGGTACGAAGTGTGGAGTATGATTTATCAATCTTTTTATTCAATCATTATATTTATGAAATTAAATAACAAATGTAATTAATTTTCCAATCTTACACATATTTACATCCACAAGTTTGTTATACTTACTGTAGAGGTTATATATATTGTCTATTCAATTGTCTGTATGTAGGATTTCAGAGCACAACGAAAGTTACTCATGGATAACGACAACGTACTACCTACAGATATTCTCAATATTTCATCACCGAATATACAAACGGATGAAGGTTTTAATCTTAATTTTAATTCGATAAATGCGTTAATTAATACTCCGTATACTATTAATTTTTGTTTAATTTTTGTTACATGTATCACACCAAAAAACTCTTTCTAATATTTTTCGTATGTTGCAACATTGAAATTATTTGTTCTTCTATGTGTTTTAAACCCTGTTAAAACTACACTTTAATCCAATAATTGTTATTAGAAATTATTTAGAGTCCCGCTTCGTGTACACGCCGGGTTACACACCGGGTTACATGCCGGTCAAATTGTCTGTATACAGACAATTTGATCGGCTAGACAGACAATTTGACCAACGTTTTATGAAGAAAATCGATTCCCATACAGACAAAATATAAAGAGTTGTCTGTATCACAGACATTTTAAACCTGAATTTTTCATAAAGTGTCTGTGATACAGACATTTTTTTTTTATTTTTGTCTGTGTGAAAATCAGTTTTCTTCGTAAATCGCCGCTCAATATGTCTGGCCTAATCTTTTAAATGTATTGTGTATGTGCATTTTACTATTGTCTATGTTTGATTTGATCTGGTCTGCTTAAGTTGGGTATGATATGCTAAATGTATTGTTTTTGTTTTTTTTACTATTTGCATGTATGATCCGATCTGGTCTGTTTAATTCTGGCGTGATCTAATAACTGTATTGTGTTTGTGTATTGGCTTTGTATGGTTTGATCATGTCTTGTCCTAAAATAGTCCAAATTTAAGAAGTCTCTAATTTCGTTTACTAACTCAAGATTCTATGTAATTTTAATTTGTCTTTCAGATCTTTACTTTGAGGAAACACCTAAATTAGGCCAACAGTTTCATTCGCTAGATGATGCTCAGGCTTTCTATAACGCATATGCAAACCTGCTTGGATTCAGCACTAAAATAAAAAATTCAACTGTTAATAAAGCTGGAGTTATAACACGGAGAGCATTTACATGCTCCAAAGAAGGCCGAACAAATTTGTCATCACAGAACAAGAATAAAATTGTCTTCGAACGAAATAGGGGCCAAACTAGGTGTGGGTGTCTTGCTAAGATGCATGTTTCAAGAAATCGACAAAGCGGATTGTGGGCTGTGTCACAATTCGAGAAGATCCATAATCATGACCTTGTTAGTCCTAGTAAGACACATTTACTTCGTTCTCATCGAGAAGTGTCATCTTCGAAGAGAGTATTGATGAATGAGTGGGGAGAAGCAAATATTGAGACACATACCCAAATTCGTTTGTTGGAGAATGAAGCTGGAGGCCTATCTACAATGGGGTGCACAGAGACTGATATATATAATTACAATGCCTCATTGAAATCCAAATTTAATGGGATTGATGTGACAACAATGATTCATGGATTTCAAACGGAAAAACAGAGAAATTGCGACTTCTTCTACAAGTATGAGATCGACAGTGAAAAAGTTCTTACTAGATGCTTCTGGGCTGATAGTGATAGTAGAAACGCATACTCCTTTTTCAGCGAAGTGATTGTATTTGATACAACATTTAATACTAACAAGTATGGTTTCTATCTTGCTCCAATCGTTGGTGTTAATCATCATCGTCAAACTACTGTTTTTGGTTGCGGTTTGTTAAGGGATCAATCGACTGAGTCATTTTCGTGGCTTCTATCAAAGTTCTTAGAAGCTATGAATCCTAGACCTCATCCAAAGGTAATAATAACTGATCAGGATGCAGCTATCGCTCGAGGAGTGGCTGATATAATACCAAATGCATCACATCATCATTGTTTATGGCATATACTTAAAAAATTCCCCGAAAAGATGAAGGTCTCTAGCTCAGCATATACTGAACTCCATAAAGAATTAGTTGATATTATTATGAGTTCACAGAGCACAAGTGATTTTGAGCAACGGTGGACTGAGAAACTTTTGTTGCCAGAGTTGAATGACAATAGCTGGCTTGCTGATATTTATGAAATTCGTACGAAATGGGTTCCTTGTTTTGTGAAACACATATTTTGTGCTGGAATGTTAAGTAGTCAACGTGTTGAAAGCACACATGCTTTTTTTAAAAAGTATGTTAACAAGAAGTGCACTGTGAGTCAGTGTGTGACACGTATTACTCGGGCAATTGTAAGACAGAGGCACATAGAGCTTCTTGCTGATCACCGCGACCGAAATGAAGTTCCACAGGTGAAATCAAGTTATTTAATGGAACGACAAATGGCTGGAATATACACAAAGGCAATATTTCGTAAGTTCCAAAACAATATGACGAGTGTGCTCTTTACACTTGCCACCCGGTTTCTAGCTCTGTTGAAACTAAGATCTATGATGTTAAAAGATGTGATATGGATTTGACTTATAGCTCTACAACACACAAGCTTACATACGACATATCCTCAAATTTTGTTTCTTGCAGCTGTAAAAAATTTGAATTTATGGGGATTACTTGCCGCCATATTCTCATATGGATGAGGCTCGAGCAGGTGTTGTTACTGCCAGAGAAATATATTCTTCATCGTTGGACAAAGAAAGCAAAGATAAACCCTATTTATCAGCCTGCAACTGATTCATTTGTTGGTAAGAAATTATGGACAAGGCGGGTCAAGCTAAGGTTGTCTGCTTTCGAAGTTGTTGACATGGCATCCTTAACTGAAGAACGAAGTAACTACTTCGCTGGTATCTTAAAGGGTGCTATGGTTCACCTTGCACATATGGATGATGGGGGGATGACTACAAGTCATCCATTAACATCGTCTTCCCACTCACCAAAACTTTCTGTGAAAGATCCGAAAATTACAAAAATCAGAGGCTCAGGTGCACGCCTTAAACACCCATCCGAAAAGGCTAGGCGTTGTAGAAAATGCAAGAAGAGTGGCCATAATGCTAGATCATGTCAAGTTTCACAGTCAGAGAGGTGAAAATTTGACTTTGTATTGAATATTTTACATTTGATTAAGCACTCGTTTTATTCCTTTATATTCCATCTATATAGTTTAAAATATTTAATATAGTAGTAACATGTGTAGTTGTCATTGCAGGTCTCAAAATTGTAATCAACAATTTGATCTAAATTTGCCAGATTTAGAAGGTTGAAGCATGATCGAAAAGTATTTTTGTTACTGCAGGCTAAAACTCAATTTTTTATCATGATACTAGGTTGCTGCTATTATTTAACTCTTGTGTGATGAAAATTTATTGATTGTTTCCTGTTATTGGTTACGAGTTATTATCACTTACAATAACTTATATGGGATTACGAGTACTCAAATTGCCCTTCCCAAATGATTGGATGCTTTGATAAAATTAGGTAATTTCAATTAAGTGCTTGGTTATTTTTTGAGTTATTGTCCTCGTATGCATGTTTTGCTGTCATTCTTGAAATCTATTTGTCATAATTTGGTCCAAATAGAATATATAGTTCTGAGATTCAATTTATATACTTAATAAAAAAAGTATTCAAATCATCTTATTGAATGAGAACATGGATCTGGATCAACTGTGACTGGATCAAGTACGATTAAACTACCTGAACTGACCTGCACCTAAGAACTAATTCATATAACAGTGAAGTGTTTTGGCTATTTTCATAAGTTGCTGGTTTCAAACTCTCTGGGCCATCTCTTTGTATTTCTTGTGGCAACAACACCTGGTTCCTTTCTTCTTGGTTCAGTTTGACATATCATTTCTTTTGCAATTAAATTCTTGACTGGCATCACTAAAATTCTTTTATTAGCACTCCCCCAACCAAATCATGAACGGCATATTCCATGGGATTAAAAATAAGTAACTAAAATTAAATATAACAGATCTTTGTATTCATTAGCTAAATAAGTTTTAAGTCACATATACAATTTGCAGACCACATCTTTAGCAATTGAATCACGAAAGCCAGAGTTGTGTATAAATTAAAGCACAAGACGATTAGCATCACATCATACCGTTTTAATAAATGCAAAAAAAATGCAAAGCTAATTACACCCAAAACTCTGCGTATGTTCAAATTCATCAAAGAAATGATGCAGCACCTAGAACAAGCTTTTTTGCACCATAACTAAACCTAATTATCTCATGGTTTCAATTAAAGAAAAAGTGTTCACACAGAGCAATGCAAGTACACAAGAATTTGTTCACAAAAAAATTTACAATTGCTGATCATTTACAAACATTTACAAAAAAAGAAAGTAGATTATCAATTGCTGATCATATGTAGTTAAAAAAACTACACATACAAAAGCTCCCAATCTTTCGATTCTCCTCCAGAAGAGTACGCCCAAGGGGAATTTTTTTCTCAAAAACCATTGCAACAATCTGACCTGGCTAGAGAGCCATCCCAATTCACGACAGAGAAGAAATCATGCAAGCAGCGTCGGCGGCTTCGTAATCTGGCATCGATGCGTCCGGCGGCGTGAAATTATGGGAGGCATCAACCTCATCTCGACCACAAGCAGAGTCGACGGCTTCGTTACCTGGCTTCAATGCGTATGGCGTGAAATTCCGGGTGGCATCTACCTCATCTCGACATTTGTTCCTCTCACTCATCAAGTTGGTCTTGGTCGGAAAATGCATTCACGGCAGAATAGATAGAGAGAATATGTGGGGATGAATGTTTAGATTTAATTTTAGAGACATAAATGCATTTAATTTAAATTAATTGCCACATGGAATAGCGTGCACGTTAATGAGCAAGTGACGGGCTCGTTAAAATTTCTGTATTTATTACCCCGTAGTCCGTACTACTCCGTACCCTGCATACCTGTGAGAGAGCAATTACACTATACCTACAGTGAATCACACGGATCTGATTCTCTTCCTTCTTCTCAGCTCCGCCCGATTCTTCGTAGTCAACCGGATCCATCCGCCGCGCCTCCAAGATGACCGCAATCAGCATCCACGTTACAGCGCTTGACGGAATCATACACGTCAACTCTCTGTTCACATTTGCCGTATTCGTCGGGCTAGCTTGGAACCCTCGAGACCCGAATAACCGGCTCACTGACGACCCGAAATGTGAGGCCGGGCCGAAAATCGCGGAGGATCTGGTGGCGTTTCACGTATACTCCTTCGCCTCTTTCCTCTTCTCCAGCCTCATCGCCATGTGCATCAAGCAGCTGACCCGACTGACCGAAGATGCACATGTGGAGATTCACGGCGTTGACATTGCGGTGGTTGTGAACAAATACTTGGTCCAGATCGGGTATGTAGTTTGCGCCGTGGGTTCGGTTGCAGGCTGTGTTTGTTTGATGCTTGCTTTGAGAAATGTGGTTCAGATCAAGCTCGGGACTTTAGGGTGTGGAAGCCCGCATACCTCTGCAGCTGTCTACCCACTTTTTATCTTTGGGATTGCTGGACTTATCTTTTATGTCTTCACCATTGTATATGCTTTTTTTGTTTAGAAAGTCATTAACATGCTCCTCCCGGCCGGCTTCGATTTGTTTACTAACAGGTTGATTGTGGGTGAGATTGATATGTGTTGTAAACTTGTAACTAATTGTATGTAATTTGGCTCCCGTGGGGGAACCCCACCCCGATTACCGCCGTTGATCTCCATGAATCGTGATTGCGGCTGATTGTGATCAACGGTTGTGATGCATTTGCTTGGGGTGGGGCAGTGCCCCGCAGGGGATGTATGTGGTAATCTGGTAATTGCATCTTTTCATTTCATTAATGTCCTTGTGTGTTTGGTTTGATAGAACAGGCCAACAGGGTAGTAGAAGTTATATGACTTCACTCTTCAGGTTTACCAATGAATGTGCCTGGTTTCTGTATTTTAAATTTTCTCTACTGAACTGAACTGGTTGACCTGTCTTACCAAAATTTATGTCTAGCAAAACAAATGTCCTCAATCCTCCGTAATGCATTGCAATTGGAAATTGCTCTAAACGGGTGAAAAAATGTTTGTGTATTGCAAAAGAACACTATCATGTTTCCATTTTCTAAATCGATGTACTTGTTGTCATATTTTGACAGTACCAAACTTTAAACATTACAGTATTTTAAAATTTGTAAACATTTTTACTCTTATTTTGGGAATTTTTCTATAAAAATTTATACCAAGACTCTGGAAATTTAATTTTCTAAATGAACTTGCATCAACATGTACCTTATAGATCGATGATATCACTGCAATACTCTTAAAGAGAAGGTCACAACTCACAAGTTCAAATCTCACCCATTTCAAGGATATTAGCTTTAATATAGAACAAATATTATAATATGTTAAAAAAGATCTTACATCATATAGTGAAAAGGAGGAGGGCACCTTTGGATGTGATTGAAGTGAGAACACGAGATGGTAGTAAATGGTAAAGAGATGAAAATTACTGAAATAAGGGTAAAACCATTTTTTAAATTTCAAAACATGATAGTAATTATTTCAATTTAGAAAATAAAAATGAGACATACCTATTTTAAAATTTACAAAGATTTTTATTCCTATTTAAGATAATTTCTTTAACTGGAGTTGAGTTCAACGTCGAGGTTGGTGAGGATTGTGGAAGATGAAATGCGAGGAGATGAGTGTTGGGCCAGGAGTTGCTAGTGGGCTGACCTGAACTACTAATATGGGCGACAATTGTTTGCTAATTGGATTTCTGAAGATTGGAGGCCTAATTGACTAAGTATTGGAACGAAGAGGATAGGCTCACGTGCGGATAAGGACGACTCACCTGCTGCGCAAGAAAAGAGAGGAAAACACTACTTCTGCGAACGGTTGGAGCCACCACGCAACGGAATATCCGTGAATAAATAGAGCACAGTTAAAGAAAAATGAGGCACGATCGATCTTGATCAAACAACTTATTATTACTCTTGTATTCACAATCATTCACAAGAAAATTCTTCTATCTAATATCGAATTTAGCTATCAATTCCGTGTATTGACTCTTGTGCGATCCCCTTATTTCCTATTTGATTGTTGGAAATAAATTCTTATTTCTTGCTTAAACAATTTGGCGCCCACCGTGGGGCATCGTCCAAGAGGATAATCGTTGAACATGGTTGAAAGCAATCCTCTGTTGATGGAGTTCCACGCTCAACTAGAAGCAGCTAAAGAGGAAATCCGTCGAGAAGTGGCGAAGCGGATGACGCATCTCCAACAGGAAAACGACCTACTCCGGTCCCAAGTCCAATCGGCGGTATCAATCGCATCTAACTCCAGGGGCAACCGGAGAAACGATTTCACGCCCGTCGTAACAAGGCTAGATTTGGAGTCCACTCCGGCGGCGACGGATCCACCCATTATCACTACCGAGCCCATCTCGCTCACGTTGGGCCTCTCACCCGCCGGGTAGTCATAACCCACCGTCATTTGTCAAGTGATACCGTACAGGCCGCTCTTCCCTGTGACGACCCCTGTCCCAAACATACCAACTTGCTTCTTCCCGGAGTCCCTTCGTCCCGGACCTAGAACGACAGGATTGCACTCGGTCACTCAAAGCCTACCAATGGCCTCGGGAATATCAGCACCGGCGGAGCCTTCCATCCCTCACTATAGGAGCATACCCCGTATAGAGCCCGGTCTGCCCAACTTCATCCAGAACCGTAGACGGAATATGTTCGAAGAACTGCCGCCTGAGTTTCAAACGCAATGACGCCATAGACCCATCATTTCAACAGGTCAGAGTGGTGGAGAGCGACATCCGGAGGTCAGAGTTATTCCGTCACCAATCCGTCCCGAAGCAACCCAGATGGCGGGACCAACAGTTTTGACGCCAGAATTCACACAACCGGGCTTGCCTGATCCAATATCGATGATAATGGACCAGCTACGGCAAACGCAAGACAAAATCAACGGATTGCCGGGAGTACCCCTCCTTTAGACCGAGCTTCGCAAACATGTTATGCGAACTCTCCCTTCAGCAGGCAGATCACAGATGTTGAAATACCACACAAGTTTGCCGCTCCATCAATGAAGATGTTTGATGGCACGTTCGACCTAGTAGAGCATGTCGCTCAATACAAACAACGGATGCTCGTCGTATCCCTCCGGCCTGATCAAAGGGAAGCGTGCATGTGCCGGGTTTTCGGAGCAACGTTGTCAGGTCCGACACTTAAATGGTTTGTCAATTTGCCTAATGAAGGCATCAGATCATTTGCAGACTTAGTCGATTCGTTCAATCATCAATTTGCGAGCAGTCGAGTGCTTGAGAAGCAAACTAGTGACCTTTATAGAGTCACACACCGTTGAGGCGAATCGCTGAAGGATTATCTACACCGATTCAATAAAGAAAAGGTATCGATTCCCCGGTGCGACATTCCAACAGCACTTGAGGCATTTCGGAGGGGTTTGGCCGACGATTCGAAACTATACCGGGAACTGACGAAGTACCCATGCAAAACCTTTGAGGACGTCCAGGCCAAAACCCCGGCCTTCATCAGACTTGAAGAAGACCAGCAGTCGCGACATCGCCATGATGCATATGATGGGGGCATCGCAAGTCAATCACGTCCAGGAAGCATGATTACAGAACCGGAAAGCCCTATGCCAGAACTAAAGACATGCCGGTTTCGTCAGCAAGTTGGTTCAACGATCCAGACTTCCCACCCGTCATCGACGACTACTGCTTTAGTGTTACCACTATGGAGCTCATTCATTCTTTGGAGAAGCTGGGAGAAAAGGTTCGATGGCCCAAGAAGATTGACAAACCAGCGGGTCGTCGTGACCCAAATAAGCGTTGCGATTTCCACAACGACATCGGGCACAACACTAAATATTGCGTCGCGCTACAAAAGGAGGTGGCATATTTACTGAGGAATGGGTATCTGACAGAAATCATGTCTGAACATACCAAGTCATTGCTGGGACGGATCGTCAAAGCGTCGCCAATGGAACCGCACCCTCCTTCGCCTTCAACCCCCTGTAAGGTAATTACCTTTATTAATGGCAGATTTGATTTATGCGGGCTAACATATTCTGCAGTAAAGAGACACGCTCGGGATTATTCCTGAGACAAGTCGTTGCAGGTTTGCAGAGTTGAGAAACGACAGGAAGACTAGCGGAATGCGTCAATTACCTTTGACGAAATGGATATTCCCGATCATACACAACCCCATCATGACATGTTGGTCATCTCCCTACGGGTAGCAAACTGTGAGGTCAAGCGAGTCTTGGTGGACAATGGGAGCACCGCAAATAGTACTACCATGAAAATGCTCAAGGAAATGGGAATTAAGGAGGAAGACGTGACGGATTCCGGTTCGACCCTTGTCGGATTCAACGGGGAGCCTAGCCGAACTATAGGTAACGTATCCCTACCCGTATATGCCCATGGTCTTAACTTGCAGGTCAAATTCGATGTAGTACAAGACCTATCGGCTTACAACATGATCTTGGGGACTCCGTGGCTGCATCAAATAGGAGCCATCCCATCGATGTATCATCAAGTTGTCAAGTTCCCGACACCATGGGGAGTGCAAAGCATTAGGGGAGACCAGAGATCAGCCAAGTCGTGCTACCAAACAACAATGAAGCCAATTGCGACTCAAACAGCTTCCAAGACGGCATAGCAATCAAAGGGTGGCCCTGATCTGGAGGAAGATGACGTCAGAACACAAGAAGTCGTCGTCGACCCACAGCATCCAGAAAGGGTCGTCCACATCGGGAAGAACGTACCGGCACATCTCAGAGACGAACTGATAAGTTTCCTCAAAGGACACAAGGACGTGTTCACGTGGAGCCACGAAGATATGACATGTATTGATACTTGTGGATCGTTGCGCTTACCACTACACTAAAAGCAATCGCTGATAGTGTAGCACACTCCTCCCCATTTATAGCACAAGCGAAGTGCCACACGGTTCGATTGCACCGGCAGGCTGGCAGATTGCTGGCACCGCATACCCGCGGCCCAACAATCTCCCCCAGCACCTGCCAGCCTCAACCGCACAACATGCTATTGTCGGGGGTCGAAACCGTGACCTTGGCTCTGATACCACTTGTGGATCGTTGCGCTTACCGCTACACTAAAAGCAATCGCTGATAGTGTAGCACGCTCCTCCCCCTAAGGAGGTTGAAACACTGCTCCAAACCGGCAAGATAAAGGAGCCCAAGTACCCTGACTGGTTAGCCAACGTCGTCGTCGTGCAAAAAAGGAAAGGAAAGAAGAGGGGAAAACCAGCAAAATGGCGGGTTTGTGTCAACTTCACCGACTTAAACAAAGCATGTCCAAAAGATTCATTTCCTATGCCGCATATCGACGTACTGGCTGATGCAACTGCCGGGCACAAGATGCTATCCTTCATGGACGCTTTCAGCGGTTATCACCAAATTCAGTTACACCCGAATGATCAGGAGAAGACCACCTTCATAACTGAGACAGGTACATATTATTATATTATCATGCCTTTTGGACTGAAAAATGCAGGTGCAACGTTCCAGAGGCTGTTTACAATGATGTTCAAAGACCAGTTGGGAAAGACCATGGAAGTCTATATCGACGACATGATCGTCAAGTCAAAGCAGAAGGAAGATCACGTCAGTCACCTGACGGATGCATTCAGTAAGTTGCGGGAATATAACTTAAAACTCAACCCGGCTTAGTGTACCTTCGGAGTGTCATCAGGAGAATTCTTGGGCTACATTGTCAGCGAATGAGGAATAGAAGCGAGCTTGGAACAAATACGAGCAATTCTTGACATTGAGTTGCCCAAATCCGTCAAAGATGTCCAAAGATTGACAGGACGAGTCGCAGCTCTGAATCGCTTCATTTCGAAGTCATCAGACAAGTGCCATTTGTTCTATGACGTTTTGCAAAAGAACA